AGGCATATCAGGCTATACGCACACCATCCGCAGTGCAGTCTTATCTAGGTCTAGATACCAACATTGGCATGTGTCGAATCTCAGATGTCAGGTCACAGCCGGCAGACAGAGATCCAGGATACCCAGCGACGGAGAGACAAGGTCATGGCCCTGACACGGCTGCCATTGTAGCGTGTTTGCTACTGCATAGGGAGCTCATTGAGTCATGTGGCATGGTTTACATGATTGTCGACAATCGTGCACCGGAGGAGGTCGGACACTGGCCTGCATTTGCCCAGTGGTGGGCGGCCAGAAGAGCCCTTGTTGGACCTCAACAAGAACGAACTGATATCGTGTGGGTGCAGGCAACTCATGCCAATGGCTTGCGGGCGATTGGAAGCAGCTTCCTAAAGTGCATTTCGGGCTTGTTGACAATGATTGTGTCCCTGTTACACTCTTTGAAGTGCAGGACCTCATTGCCTTAGCAGAAAACCAGTTTCGATGGCCTGACCTGACAGGGTATCGAGCTGACCCTGATTTGGCCAAAAGCAAGCCAGGAATGTTGCTCTTTACAGAAGCGCATCTCGAATACAATGCGGGTCTAGTCATATCCATCGGCAGTCCAAACCGTCCTAGCCCCATAGAAGCAACGTCAACTGCGGAGGACTTAGCAGAAGAATTGGAAGACTACCGCCAACAGCTACTGGCCATGGCTGCACCGCCGGAATGCCCAACAGAAGCCTCACAAGGGGGGTCCCTCTTCACCCCGCTCATTGGAGTTCCAATGGAGCACTCGCTTGACTTGGCAGTTGTGTGGGCGCTGTATGGTACATATATGTGTTACCAATTTTGGCCGATGCCAGGTAGTGCACAAAGTGCCAGCGGTGACCAACAGAATCCAGCGGCGATCAAGTGGTACACATGGGCTGTCAGGTAAGCAAGGCCTACCGCCTGGTATTGCAGGAGAATGATGCGTGTTACGCGGTCCTAGCTCTCCTGCTGGCATTCGTGACTCCGTCACGCAGGAAAAAGGGCGAGGAGTCGCTAAAAGAAAAACTCCGACGCATGAGCAGTCCGCGACATTGGGACGTCGCCCTGGTGCCCTTCCCAGCGGACTTTGCCCCCCGCCTGCCCCAGCCGAGACTGGACTGGCGTGCCCAGTCAAATGGGAGTTCCCTCCAAGTCTAAACATTTTGGAATCTAGAGCAACGCAATTTCGCGTCTTGGCGTTTGCTGAGGCAGGTGACACGGTCACTGCTGACCATCCTGAACCTTACAGGCACATCAATTACCGTCAACTTGTCATGGCGCCCACTAACAAGCCTTCTGTTGCACAACCGATCGTAGCACAGAAAGTACCTTACTACCTCACGAAGGATGCAGTTGACAACGCCACGGATGAAAGAAAGGAAAAAAGACTCGACATCCTAGGCAAGAAGCCCTTGAGACAGTTTTTAACTGATGTCAACCTCTTTGATTTTGCTGAACAAGCAGCAGTGCCACAATGGATTTTTGTTGACGAAGAAATTTTACAAGCGTTGTGCTCTCTTTCAATACCCACTTCTGCTCTCAACACTTACCGACAAGAACTTTTGCAGCATCGTTCTTACCGTCGAATTGTTCTCTTCCTTCGTTGTCTGTTGAGTACGTCTAAGAATACTGACACAGGTTTCATCATTTGCTGGCTAATCCATCAACCGGTCCACATAAGGTACCTTGGACCCAGTAGAGTCAAACATCTCTATTTGCTTCGTTTGCGTGATACGCTCGAGATTTTACTCTTCAAGTATGGAGGAGAGTCCCTACGCATCCGACAGCCACTGACACCAACCCCCCTGTATCGATCTATGTTTGGTTTCCAGACTGACTTACACGGTTCTGGATCCCAACAACTCTGTGCTTTTGCTCTGCAACAGGAACGCATTTGCACGGTCACAGAAAGACCATGGCAACACAGTATTGTTGAACCAGGTTGCGCCTTGTGGCGACTATCCCACTGTTTGCTGGCAGCAGACAATAAAGTATGTAAGGAACCATTCGCCAATGCCTGCCACCTTATGTTGGGAAAGTTTCCGATTGTCCTCATAGGAGGTCTCCTAGAGGATTGGTGCCTTAGCATCTGTCCTCAGAGTGCTCGAGCTGCACACCCACAAATACAGTCAAACATCTGGAATGCAGATCAGGCGCCTGACTTGTGTTTACTGATTATACACCAGACTACCATCTCAGATACTGAGAATTGCGAAAACATTGTAACTTTGGTTTCCACCCAACGCTCACCACCCCCAATCCTGCCAACTGAAACTGCAGCTCAACAAGCTGCAGCCAAAATACCTGTAGATGTCTGTATCGATGATTGTCATCAAATGACGTTACCCTCGGGATGGTACGCCTGCACTCAAGGAGAGATTTCAGCCATAATCTTTCGCAGAGCACAGGCTCTGCTACAGATTGAGTAAATGTATTTGCGCAATTTACCCATCAGGTCTCGCCGTCTAGTGCAGCGTACCCTCTCTACAGGCCTACAGGCAGTTCATTGGCATAACACGCAACAGACCAACCATTTGTCACTCACACATGTTTCTTCCCTTCACTTTCTCATTCATTTTGTCCATCCGCGTGTGCCATACAGGCGGATACATGTTGGAGATCTTTTGGCATTATGCGGTTTTGATAGCAGCGTTAACCTGTCAGATGCGTTGCACACACTTCGTGCGAACATTGGCAAATTCAAAGGGTGTGCCGTCCCAGACTCGATATCTGACGTTAGTGAGGCTCCTTTAGTTCTCCCCAACGAGGTGCAGTCACTGCGCTGTGCCCCCCTACAATTTTGGCAACTTTGTCAGGGCATATTGCTTTTCCGGATGCAGCGACCCAGCAATTTACCAGTCTCCATCAAAGGAATCTATTCATGGAATCTCAATAGCTGGTCTCCTGGATTACCCACCAACATCCATAAAACGTGGATTGTCAGAACCATGCTGAAACAAGCTCCTGTGTTACTACAAGAGACCAAATGGAATCAGGCCAATTCCCAAGCATCATGAGATTGTGATCACGCACTTGCAGGATGGTGTCATGCACCTAGTTAACATGCTGCTTGTTTTCTTTTGCCCCCCCCTCCACTCCCTGTGGAGGCCACTTCGTGTCCTCGAAGGAGCTCATTGCCTGCATATTGCGCCTGTATTTCCTATTGTTCCTTCCAGCCGCATACATTCCCTTCGTGCCTTCGATGAAGCCTGTGCTTCATGCCTTCGATGTTTGGCCATGATCACCATTCTGCCTAACCCAGCCGTCAAGAGGACGGCCTCGTGAGAATCCCCGATGTTGTCTGAAAAAGGAGCGAACGAGCTCGCGCAAACGAAACGACGACTGCGTCGATTTTCTTTGGTCGTTGAACCATGTCACGCACGATGATTGGTACTGGTCATATGTGCCCTTTTTCATAGGTCTTGCAAGAGCGCAGTTCTGAATGTCCGCTTAAACAAATAGGCGCTTCGCATGAACAGCCCCACTGTAAGTTAGCAATAAAAGATTAATAATTAATAATAAAGCGCGAGAGTGAAGCGTTGTTTGAATTATAAATTATATTAGGTATATATAACCACTTGTATGGGTTATATATCTACTGTATAATGTAAGTCCACCTTGAACATGTTGGTTTCAACAATCTTGTCAAGTGTCCTATGGATCTTGCCCCCAATGGGATGGAGAAGCGGATGCACAATTGTCGGTACATTGTACATCTCGAAGCCAATTGTATGTTGGTATTGTCTGCAGACTGTAGCTGCTGCTCCTGTTGTTGTGTTGATGAGGATGTACCTCAAGTCGGTGCTGAGGCGAACATGTCGTTCACCATCTTTGATTGTTGATGCCGCTGCTCGTAATTGTATCTCTGTGAGTTCTGCTGTGGCTTGTTCCGCTGCTTGTAGCAAATCTGTGTAGTCGTTGTCTTGCAATCCCATGTATGCTGTGAACTTGTATTTCCATTCTTCGAATGTGCCAGAGTCTCCATTGAAGAAAGGTGGTTTGAGTTTGTATCTGTTCATGTTTGCTATGTTTGCTAGTGTCTCATCTTCTTGAACTGGAGGCAGGTGGTCTCCTCCATTTGGAGCTGCTGCTGGTTGTGCTGCCATTGTTGCAGCTGTACAAGCTACCTGTTGTAGGGTCAAGGCCTGTCCTCTGTTGTCTGTGTTTGTGTGTCTGTTCCTGTTGTTGTATTGGAGCTCACCTGGATTGTTGTTACCAGGATCCTTGCTCCGCTACCATGTAAAATTCAGCAGCTGTTGTTTGTCGTTTGACTGTCCTTAGGCTCAAGGCCTCGATCCAAGGTGCATTGTATAGCACCAAGCAATTGTACATGAACACTACGATGGAGTAGGTATGTTATTGTAAAAGAGCTTGTATCTTGACCTCTCTCTCTCTCTCACCACGATTGCCACCTTCATCACCACTATCACCTCTCTGGACCCCAATGCATCTGGATCTTTAGACTTTCTTCTGCTACACCTTTAAATCTCACACACACTGTTTGGGGCCTCTTGCCGGGATAGTTCATTTTTGGGTTTCTTTGTTTTTTTGGTATCCTCGAACTTTCGGTCTGATCTTGATTTCAATTGACATTGACTTCTATCTTAACTCTAAATTGAACCTAACTAATTGCAGTTCAGTTGTATATAACATCTTCATGGAATGTCTACCTTAAACAACTTAAAATTCCCTGCTCATGTCACGCAAAAGTCAAAGGTCAACAGATCTTTTTGGTTTCAAAGGTGTAGCAACAAACCTAGGTCTTGATTTAGGGAACATCACAGCAAAAGTTTTCCGATGTTAGAAAACATTCCTTTGAACGGTTGGTTCATCGTGTGAGGACATTTTGTGATATTTGATTGGTTTGTGTTGCTTGGATTTGTGTTTTCTTACAAGCACTTCAATCATGGCCGCTGAATGAGGCTCAAAGTCCAGTGGGCCAACACACACCAAGACAAATCGAGCCACTTTCAACCACAATTCAGCCAACAAAACTCTTGACTCTTGATTGCCATTGCGCTCATGGCGGACATGGAAACGATCACTTTAGGGATTTGCTGTATGAACAGCAAGTTCCTTGCTTTGCAGATCAGTGGGATTTGTTCGGTACCAACCACAATTCATGCACTTGACATCCGAGGTTGACTGGAAAACCGATGCAAGCCATTCTCCGACGGTTGAAGTCATTTGGCAAGGATCAGTGGTTTATTGTTGATGTCCAGCAACCTCCACCTGTCTGCAGGCAATGCGGGGACTTGGAACTGATCGAATTCCCTGAAGATGACATTTTAGAGAAACCTGTGGAGTGCCTTGATGTCACATATCAAAACCTCAAACTCAAGAGTTTTTTTGTGGCCATTTTGTTCAAATATGGATGCACCAAGGGAATGGCCGGAGGTCAGATGCCTTATTGCCTTCGAATCTAAAGGTTTCCCACTTCAAAAATGCATCGAGAAACTTGGCTAAAGTCAGTTCTTAATAACAGAGACACCTCATCACATCGATTCTCAGCAGAGGTATTGCAACCTGAGATCACCCACTTGTATCAACAACGTCGCTTGCCCAGAATATTAATGGCTGGTACTTGAAGCTGTTGTGATCACAGCTTGGTGTGTCCTCATGGGACGCAAGGTGGAGGCACAGATCATCCTTGAGAGCCGGTGTCAAGTGCAGCTCTGCTCAGACTGCTCAGACCTCTTAAACTCTTTAGCAGTCTCTAAACTCAAGGAGCTCTACGTTGTCTCTTCACAAAAAGAACTCCTTGAACTTCTAAGGTACAACATGCTCACTGCATGGTGCATACCATGTCCAGACCATATTATAGTGGAACATGACCAAGTTGCTCCGCAGGGGCCGACGCTTGGCCAAACATGGCTCCAAGATACCTACTAGCGATGGCCTCCAACCTACTATAGCGATGGCCTCCAACGTACTAGGAGGCCATACACTGACTCAGGAATGTGCTCCAAGAGCATGATAATTTCATCGTGCCTTGGCAAATGGCATTACTCTTGTTGAGCACTTCTGGTCAGTGGTTGTGTAGCCTTGGTCACAGTGCCAAGGTTTTCAATGGAAAGAAAATTGAAAAACCCTTTGAACCTTGGCTTTGTCTCAAGCAATTCTGCAAGCAACTTGCCTGATGGTTTTGAGGTCGAAAAACCTGAAGATGCCAACAGGCATGACATTTACATTTATTATCCGCCGGGTTCTCAGGGGTCTCAGAGCTTTCTACTCTTGTTTTTGAAGTAGGTAAAGTCTAGAGACTGAAAAGAAAGAAGAGTAGAAACTTCTTTCCACTTAGGCGCAGCCTTGGGGGTGGTGCAAAGAAGCTTTTCCGCAAGGCTGTGGCCTTGTTATTGTACCCTTCGGGTCTTCAGTTGCCAATGTGCAGGTGCCAACATCATAAACATGCTTCTGCTTTGGCTGTTTTGAGTGCACAGGTGAAAGATAAATCTAGTTGCTTGGCCAGGGTTCTTTGTGGTTTTCCAAGACTCCCAGGGCCAAAGCAAGGGAGTTTTGGAGTGGGGAGCACTCCAATTTGAGTGGAGGCCATCGCTATTAGGTTGGAGGCCATTGCTAGTAGGTTTGTTTGCTATTAGGTTTGTTTGCCATGACATGTCTTGCTGGGCTGCTGAGTGTGTGAACCACACGGAACACCGCAGACAATCTGAGGTGAATTTGACCCTAAACAGAACTCCATCCGTCGAGATGGCACCTACATTTACGACGCTTGGACAATAGATCTGCCAGGGCGTCCTTCTGTGTCCGTCCTGCAATTTGTTTGTTTTGAGGAGCCCTTCTTGACCACATCAGGCACGGACATAAAGGCTGGATATGAAGTTGTTTGTCGTCCTTTGCTTCAGATGCCAATCAATTGACTCATTGAAGGGCCTCAAGTGTATTTTCGGAATTGGCAGGTCTACACATGTGGTGCGAGCTATGTCCATGCCGAGGCGCGCAAGGCGCCCACCGTAGACGGCAAAGTCATCCGTCCAGGCCCCAGGACTGGAAAGAGAGAAGACATCAATTGACTCTTTGATTTTCTCTAGCTGATTTCGCCCAGTCAAAGGCATAAAGAAAGGAAAAGAAGAACAGAAAAGACTTGACGGAAGGGACAGATGGGAAGCGTCACGATGGCTTCGTGTCACGGACAGGTGCGAAGGATGGGAAAGAAGTGAGATATCCGGTAGCCACTTGGCTGGAGGATTTGACAAGCTCAAAAGAACTGACCCATTGAAGTTCTACATTTTGCGTCGCCTGTTTCTTGAGGTTTTATCACATGGAGAAAAGATGATTGCTGCCTTTATCGTTAAGGCGTTTTGTTCCCGCAAACTGTGGTGTTTTGACTTCAGAGAACACCATCTCTGAGGCGTTTAGGCAGAACGTCTGTGGCTTCGATATTTTAAGAACAGCCAATGGGTCCTTTGCCGGGCAGCTCAGGGACATCTGGAGAAGTTCAACAAAGATGCAAAACCACGTGTTTTTCATCCTTCATTTTTGTTTGCTCCAACTTAAACCTCATGTGACGCACCATCTAACCAGTGGGTTGAGGTGTGTGACGTGAATGGCTGGTCCTTCGTGAAGGTGGGAATATGAAGTTTTTCATTTGTTTTCTTTCACTCCTGCAATTTTGGCAAAGCTGCTTTGCAGGGAAATCAAAAGTACTACAACGACTGCGCGTCATTGATCAGACAGCACCTTCTGGTGGAGTGTGGCATGAGATGCCTCAAGTCTGAATATTGTCGGGTCATAGAGCACCAAAAGGACAGTGAGAGTTGCCTCAAGCTAGTCCGTGCCGCTTAGAGGTAAAGATGAGCCGGTTGAACTTCTCAAAGCACCAAGCAACGAGGCAGGCTTCGACGTCTTCAGGATCTCTGAACCAAAGTGTTTCAATTGAAAACCATTAG